GGAGAAGTCCAAGAAGGAGAAGTCCAAGCCTAAGAAGGAGAAGTCCATGAGGGAGTGTTCGCTCTCGCTCAGCAGCGCAATACAATGCTCTTAGCCGGCCCCGAAGCGCTACTTCCGTTTCGACCTCACCGTGGGCACTTCACAGGACATTGCTGACGACTTGGAGGCCCTCTTCAAAGAGGCCGCACTCAAGGATGAAAGCGTGCGCGAGTTAGCTTACCCATGGACTGACTTCGAGGTGTGGTATGATCAGGACGCCTTTCTCCATATCCACGTGGAGCACCGGCGCTGGTGGATAAAATTTCTCCCGCGTTCCTCGACTGGCAGCTGAACATCCCATACCGGTCGCAGCAACTCCCCAACAACCATCGGTAGCTTAAGATGCAAGCTCACATTGCCCGGATTAAGTTTCTCAGCATGTGCATCGAAACGTGGGGCTATAACGGCTTCTTGAGTCAGTTCGAGGTCTGTACCAGCAGTTGACGGCTTATGTGGACGGGAGGACAGCCAGGGCGGAATACTGGAGACGCCAAATCGTATTACGGCCCGGTTATCGAGAACCTCCGCGAGCTGTTGCGTCGTGATCCTCAAGCTTACACGGGGAAGATGAAGAGCGCTCTCTAACCGTTTCGCCTGGACGAAGGAGGTTTCTCTAATCTGACTTCGCTTCTAGTGAATCTCGGAGCTCTAGACCCGAACAACCCCAAGAAGGAACATAGGTTGAGCGATCGAGCTCTATCTCGTGTCCTTCATGACATTATCTCGCGCCGCATGATTCAACCGTGGTGGTTCGGAGTAGGATGGCCCTGGGATAGTCTTCGAAACTGCGCGAGAATTGTCCAGCGTGAAGTGAAAGAGGCGAAAGTCCTACGCGAAGGCACGTACCAGGAGCCCACGGCACCAGCCTACGACGAACGCAAACTAGAACGCGCGGGTTGGACCCACTTCATGTTCTCGGACGCCACCTTCGCAGCGAGAGGGCCAGGCAAGGTTCGGGCATTCGGTTTAGGCGATGATGGCACCGAGAAGAAACCACTCGCTACGACGACGTCTGTGAGTGAGACTGCTTCCGTTCCCGCGGTGGAGGAATGTTCTACGCCTTCGGCAACCAAGAGGGAGCGCTCCAGCCAGTTTACGAACGGTGCCAGTATTTGCGTCGGCCTCGACCTCTATCGCCAGGGCTTGGCGCTCGGCTTCGGTGGCTCAGCGTTCCGTGGCCCGACGTCCTTCACTGGTTGGTCAGAGGCGCTCTCGCAGCCCGACACCGGAGTTATCGCGCCTACTAAATGCACTCGTTCGAAAGGACGGGTCGCCGAGGGTGAGGAAGCGCCGAAGTCGAAGAAATAAGCCGGCAAAGTCAGTTGAAGGCAGCGTCACTCTTGTAGCCATTACGCATGTAGTCCAGTGATTGAATACAACGATTTCCGTCACTTTCGTTATTGCCTTATTCGTAACAGTTCCAGGAGGGAACCAGGATACTGAGCTCCACTCAGCAAGCGAGTTCCCCGTGCACATCCCAAAATATAAGTCGAGATTAGAAATCCAAATAAAATCAAAATCTATAAATCCAGAGATAGAGAACGTGTTAAATCAGAATTTCGGGCACAGTACAGAGCCGAACCGCGCCGAAAGAAGGGTTCACAAGGGGCCGAAATAGAGACCCCTGGAAGGACGGTGTAGTGAGTCTCCTTAGCTCGAGAAGAACAGCTCTTCTTCATAGACTGCAGCGTTCGCTACAGTTAAGCGGGCGCTTCGACAAAGTTCAGATAGCCCATCTTCCTTCCTGCGAGCATCCTCGAAAACTTGTATCATCGGTCCGTACGTGGACAGGAGCGTGCTTTTAGATCGCCATAGAGTCTCGTACGTTGCTAACAGCACTGGATACTGTACTTCTCGGTCTTTTCTCCGGCGGGCCAGGATGTCAACCAGGTGATAGTCGCCTCCAGTAATCGCCGTCTCCTCCCCTCCTATGGAAAGACGCTCCACATAGCTTGGCGACGGTAAATCTTCTTCGAGCAGATGCCCTTCATCATCATCCTTGGGTTTCATTTCAATCCCATCTGAAACGTTCGAGGGGAATGGCCGACTCCATCGCCCATTGAACTTCTTGAAACGATTCACATTCACGGTGACAACCTTGTTCGGATATGACGGAATCGCAATCCGGTAAGCGTTCTCGCCCACAGTCCTCACTTTCCGGTACGGTCCATGCCACGCGAAGGCGAGTTTCTTGATCCGTCGTTCTCCACGGCGAGCCCGGAAGTATTGGTAGACCCAAACCGGGCCTCCTTCTTCGAACGTCACCGCCTTCTGGGCGTCTAATCTCTTCTCGGGGCGTCCCTGAGCCTTGTGTAGTTAGCGCTCCACCATCCGGCTCTTGTCTCGTAGGAACAGGAACAGCCGGCGTCGAAACGATGCCACTTCATTGCTCTTCCAATCGCTGTTGGTGTTGAGGAACGCCAAGTCTAGAGGTAGCACAGGATCCTTCCCATACAGGCTGAAGAACGGCGAGTCGTGCAGGGCTTCATGGAATGAGGTCCGGTAGGCAAACAGCACCCTAGGCAATAATAGGTCCCAGTCGTCGTGGGACTCGCGAACGAGCAAACGTAGCATGCTAAGGAGGGTGCCATTGAAGAGTTCAACCAGTCCCTGAGTTTGGGGGTGATATGCTGCCCCAATAGATTCTTGATTCCCAGAGTCTCGTAGAAAAACCGTGCCAATCCCGAAATAAAGTTGGATCCCTGCTCGCTGAGCAGTCGCTCGGGCACTCCATATCTGGAGATCACTTCGTTCACCATAATTTCCACGAAAGTCACGGTGTCCAACCGTTGGACCGGGAACGCCTGGACCCACCTAGTGAATTAGTCTGCGAAGACTAGGATGAACTTGTTCCCTCCCGGAGTGGTCACTAAGAGGCCAATGGCATCCACTACTAGCAGTGAGAAGGGACACGACAGCTCTTGGATAGGCATCTTCTGCATGAGGCTATTCTTCCACGGTCGATAACCCTTACCACTCCCGCAAATGGTGCACTCTTTTACATATTCCATCGTATCGCGATTCCAACCGTGCCAATAGGCATGCTTGCGGACCTTGTCCAGCGTCTTGATGACTTCCACGTGGGCTGCCAACACTTCCGTATGGCAGTGATGCAGTACTGTAGCGATGAAAGAAGCGGGATCACGGGTACCTCTATGAATTTGGCGTGGCTGGCTTTGGCCTTGAGATGAACTCTTCTCATGAGTACCCCATTCTTAACAGCGTAAGTAGGGTCCATCAGGATTGCCCTAGTCCGCACTTGTGGGTCTAGAGCCAATGCGCCGCTCTCAAGGAAAGCTATCATGGCCTATATCCAAGAGGTCCGCTTCTGCTCATCCTTGAACCATTCCTCGTGGAGGCCGAAGACGTCCACCGGCGAAATGAGGAGTTGCTCAGTGGGCTCGGTCGACTGAGCCGTACGGGGGGCTCCGGACTCGCGGGGTTCTTTCTCCAGTAGGGGGACACCTCCACAGCGGTTGTCGGTCCGGTAGGGCGCTCCCCGACCGGAGCGAAACTCTTTTCCTCTGCCTCTGCCTCGTTGAGCAGGTCGCGCATGGATATTGCTCCAATTGTTTCGGTGTACAACCGTGACAAGCCATCCACGTGCCCCATAGCCCTTCCAGGCTTATGAAACACCTTAAATCGTAGTTGAGAGAGTGCCATGACCCAACGAGCGAGT